TATCCCCCCCCTGCCATACTAATCCTCCTGCTCCACACCCCACACTCCCACACCCACAACATCCCACACCTACTTTCGGTCTGTTTTCGCAAAAAATCAAGCATATAATATCATAACGTGAAACAATAGTTTCTATAAATCATAAAACATAACATCTTAAAAAAAAAACAACATACACATACATACACACACGCACCAACACACACACACCAAAGTATAAATAGGGAAACAATACGTTCATATAAATCGAGTTAAGTTGCCTGAAGTAAATTTTAGTGACGTTAAGGTACTTGATAATAAATGGCAAATACTGCGAATGATGATACCTATTTGATGCAAGTCTGGTAACAAACCTTAAAAAACCACACATACAAGAAGCCTTCAGAATTAAAAAATTTAGGCAATACAATGACAAAACTGGAATGGCTTTACGTTTAAACTACTTTAACTTTACTTCCCCCCTCAGGAGATTAAATCATCATTCAGGACCAGAAATCCCCATACAAAGTACTTTCAGCTATATCTACTTTGGTAGAGGATATGCATATAGAAAGCTTCCCACCGAGAACTTTCACATGAAGTAATACCTCCAAAAAAACTCATTATGTAGCCAATGTAGGCAAATGCATACTCTCTCACTCTCCTCCTCTCTCTCTCTCTCCATCTTCTCTCTCTCTCTACATTACATTTATCTGAGCAAGTGATCATTTTTAAAATTCATCTCAAACACTACTAAACAAAACGTTTTTTCATATGATTACAACTAGCGGAAAAAGAAAAGATAAAAGAGGGCTCTAAAACAACCTTTGACCACCAGAATAAAGTTCAGTGACATTCCCCTATCCCTTAATCTGGTTGCTGAGGATTCTTTTCATAAAGACTTTCCTTGTTATCCTCAGAAACCTTGGCTTCCTCTTTATATAGCATGTCCTACCTTTGGCTTCTCAAGAATGAAAAGACAAGGTAATGGAGAAATGACAACAAACTCCAAATAACGAATTCCTTCCAGAGACCACAGAAACACACACACGCACTAATGTGTGTTTCTGTGTCTTT